ATGCAGCCCAGGATTAGAATTCCAACTCTCCCTTCTTCCGGGGCAAAATATTCAGCAGGTGACAATGAGGAATAAAGAAGGGATGCGTTGCAGCCTGACTTCTCTGGAAGCACACCTTGGCCGAGAAATCGATACGGAGGCTGCCACTGGCTTTTACTGTCCAGATGAAAAACCAATTTGGCAGCAAATTAAAAGGAGGACAGAGCGCTTCTCCGCTCTCAAGGGGGGGGGGACTGCATCCAAAAAATGAAAAGAAAAAAGAAATGTCCCCCGGCCAAGCTAGCACTCTCCTGAAAAGAAGGGAGGAAAAAGCCAGTGCCTAGATTTCCATTTACTGGAAAAAATATTATAAATCACCAACAGGCCATTTCACCCACTGCATCCTGTTTTTATGGAAAATTAATCCAATCTGAAGTCCGCTAATGGTCTCAAAAGAGGAGGGGCAGAAGGTGAAGAGAGGAGGAAAGGACCCCAGAATAACCAAGTGCAGAGAGAGAGAAAAAAAAGTCGGGGGTACTGGATATTAAAAAGGGGTGCTTGAAAGCAGGGAGAGGAAAATTACAGGAAAAACAAGGAAAAATTCAGTGCAAAGGCCAACTAGCAGGCAAAAGTCCGGGACAGGAGCCATGGAACAGGGGCAGCCAGCCGGACACTTATAAATTCAGACTTTCTTGCCTAAAAAGGCATGCCTCAAATTTAATAGTTATTGCTCATGGAAGACCTTACCGTATATACTCATGTACAAGTCGACCTCATGTATAAGTCGAGGGAAGGTTTCAGAGACCTTGCCGTAAGACGGAAATGACTTGAAGGCACACAACAGCAACAACAACAACAACATAAAGAGGTATGCAAAGGGATCTCGCAGCACCTTGCAGACTGATGGGGCAAAAGAAATTCTAGTATGAACTTTTGTAGATTTGAGTCCAAAACACACTGCAGAAATAATCCACTTTGAGACCGCTTGAGCTGCCCTGGCTCAGTGATAGGAAATCCTGGGAATTGTAGTTTATTGTGGGCCCAGAGCTCTCTCAGACAGAGAAGGCTCAATGTCTCACAAAAACAACACTTTCTGAGCCAGGGCATTTCAAGCAGTCTCAAACTGGATTATTTCTGCAGTGTGTTTTGGACCTTGGTCTACTTCCTCAGATGCATGGAATATAAAGAGGATAGAGGCCACAACTGAGGAGTACCTAAGAGGGGCAACCTTAGAGTTGCCGTAAGTCAGAAACAACTGGAGGCCACACAACAACAACAACATAAAGAGGTATGCAAAGGGATCTTGCAGCACATTGGAGACCAATGGTAGAAAAGACATTCTAGTATGAACTTTTGTAGACCCGGTCTACCAAAATGCATGGAGTATAAAGAGAGTAGAAGCCATGACTACGATGTGGCAGACCAGAGAGATGCCAGCTTACTCAAGGCCACCTACTGGGATATGGACCAAGGACCGGTCAGTTTGTGGCCCAGCCTCCCAGCCGTTGTGCCACGCTCTCTCTCCGGTTACACCTTGTGAAAGTCAGCCAGGAACCATCATCCACAGCTTGAAAATAAAAAGTCAGAAGGAATCACCAAGCAAGCGGATGACACAGAAAGAGAGGCAAGGGGTGAGTCACCCTTTCCCCAAATCCCTGCCCTTCCTTTCGCTGCAGAAGTGAGTCAGAAAACGGCCCTAAGCGTCGCAAGGGTTTTAGGCCACAGGGCAAGGTGTGGATGGATGTGAAAATCTCATCCCCACAAATCCATTTACTAGCCCCAACTACTACTGTGTTTCCCCAAAAATAAGACACTGTCTTATAAGACACACTATGGCTTATTTTCAGGGGATGTCTTAATTTTATTAAGTATGGGAAAACAATCTACATTTATTCAAATACATTTATTCTGTCCTGACTCCACCTTGACGCCGCGCACCCATCAGGGCACCCTCTTGGCGCAGTGTGCATACACGCTCCGCCAAAAAGGCGCAAAAGAGTTGCGGTGACAACTCTAGGGCCAGCTTTTTGCTGGCCCCAAAAGGAGTGGCCCTTTGAGCCACTCTTTTAGGGGCTGCAAAAAGGAGGATCATGGCTGTGACCCTTTGAGCAGTGGCAGCGGCTCTTTTCTGTGGCTCAAAGGCCGGCTTTTTGCTGCCCCCAAAAAGAGCAACCCTTTGAGCCACTCTTTTAGGAGCTGCAAAAAGGAGGATCGTGGCCGTGACCCGTTGAGCCCCAATCCGCCGCTCCCAGAAAAGCCGCCCCATCTGCATCGGCCCTATGTCTTATTTTCGGGGTATGGCTTAAATTGCACAAATGCCTTACAAATCCTGCTACAGTTTATTTTATGGGTATGTCTTATTTTCGGGGAAACATGGTAGATTAGAACCCATGCACCAGCAGCCACTTGAACTTACACAATTCTACCAATTCAATGGATCCACTATTGCAATAGTTGGGAAATTGAGTGTCCCTGATGGACTGCAGCTCCCAACACTCCTCGTCCTATGCTGACTGGGGCTAATGGGAGCTGCAGTCCAGCAAGACCCAGAGAGCTGCACAATTCCAACCCCTGGAGCTACAGGACTTAAAAGCCCAAGTTGTTGACCGCCAAGGGATGAATGCAGAATCCCTTCCATGGGACAGAGCCATTGTTGAGATCATGATCATTTGCTCCATTTGATATCCAGAATATTCTTGTATTTTTCTGTCTTAACAGCACAGAGAGTGCAGGAAACTATAGAGTAATCCAAGAACTTCTCACCATTGCAATTATTTTTGGTCACCCCAGCCCTCACCAAATGCAATTTTTTTGCATTTAAAAGCAGGCGAACAAAGCAGTTCCAAAACCACATTTTTAGAATCAAGATAAACAGATATATCTCTGATTTTTTCCTCATCCAGCCATAAATGATACCAATAGTGTTAATCAAGATTTGCAGCAAATTCATAGAAAGCTGCTGCATGCAGAATGCAGAGAAGCTATCCAGTGCTTCTGGGACTGGCACGTCCCTCCAGACGTTGTTGGACTGCAACTCCCAGCAGCCCCAAGGAACAGTGGAAGTTGCAGTCCAACTACCTCTGGAGAGCTGCTAACTTTGCCTTGTTTGGTGGATGCCAATGAATTTTTGGGCTACAAATCCCTGAGAGGTGCTGCACACAGGACAAGAAATGGTCTGA